ACTGCAGCATATATTTCAACAAGGCAAAAACCATATGAAGAAATTCTCTACAGACCACACTGATACAATACAGCCTTCATATCCTGCTCCATGTGTTTGCTGTTTATAGCGAGTTTTAAATTTAAGGTAATGACTACTGTATATTCATGTGAGCATACAATACTTTTGATTTGTTGTGGAAAGGTTGAATCCATTACCAGGGGTCTAAGTCTATAAACTCTGACACAACCTTTATGTATGAGTTATTATTTACTTTTTTCTAGAATACGGCCACTAAAAATGTTTTGCATGGCAAAATTATAAAAATTCACCTTTTCAGTTACAAAACTACCAGGTAGTATCTCCTCCATTTTGATTTGTACTTTTCTACAGATAACATTTAAAAAATATTAGTTTATTTATAAAGTTTATGTATAATACTGTATTACATATTTGAAAATTATACGTCATTGTTTTCAAATAAACGGGTGCATGGTAGGTTTATTGCAATTCAGCATTTGCTGACTTATTCCATTGCTCTTTGGTACAATGTAGGCTAAGTGGTGGTATAAATGAGATCCTTTTGTTGCCTGCTTGAGGGACTCTACCATTTAAGATTCCTCATATTAGCAACAAATTAGTGCTTGTTTCTACTGAAATGGGCGACAGTATAAGCAATTATCGCACTCTCAACTTTGTCTTGGTTTGGTCTCCCTTGCTGGGGTGAATTGGTCCTAATCCTCCAGCTTCCTCGAAGACCTACAGATCAAACATCTCAAATCACATTGTCAGGCAGACTCACAGCAGAAAACCTAGGTGAGGAATCTAAATGAGAGCGTCTACCAAGATGGAAACAAGAGTGAGCACCCCTGTGGTGCTCTCCTTGTTGCAAATAAAAGCATCAGAACACTTGAATGATGAGGTAAAGTGCTCCCCTATGTAATTAATCATCGCTAATGTTTCCTAGCACAGAGAGAACATTAATGTCTTCTATTTAAACTAGCAAATGTGGCCTACATTGAAAAGAATCGCTACAGATAGAGCTATTTTTCTCAGATAATTTACTTGGGAAATATTCCTCAATAAAAATCACCACTCCTCAAGATCTGGGGAATGAATGCTAAACAATTACTTGAGGCTACCCAGGCACAATTTCAAACTTAGATGAAATGCAGGAAGGATTTCTCCAGCTTAAGAGATATTGTTACATCTGCCATACCAAGAATGCTGAGTTTTAGACATTAGATCTAAAAGAGGCACCAGGATGTTACTATGCTTCTATATGTTGTGATGCAGTGAAAAATATTAAACTGAGAACCCCAAGGTGCTTCTTTACCTAAAACAATGATAGGGCCTACTTGCCGGGGTTCCTGTTCCGGCACTAAGAAGGGTTCAGCAATCTGGAGAAGGGGCTGTGTGTAACTTAGTAAAGAGTCTAGAGATGAAGCATAATTTTGAAAGGCATTTGGGGGTCAGAGAAGCCTGGCTAAAGAAACTAAGATCTCCTCGTCTCAGGACCCCATGCTTTCTATTAACACAAATTGTCCTGAGGTGAGGCAGAGATATACACTTCAAAGGGTCAGAGTTTCCTATACAGAGGCATTGACAGATTTGGCAAAATCGCCTATGGCTGTTCAGGCGTTTGGCCAGTAGGAGGCAATAACATGTAGATTAAGATGCCCTAAGGTGTCTGGCATCAAGCCATCATCCCTTTTCAGGTTTGGGGAAATGCCCTTCAGCCACTCCAGATGATTCAGCCCTTGCTGACATGCTGGAATTGGCTTCTAGCACATACTAGTTAAGGTAACAGCTAAACTCCTGTTTCAAGAGCCCCAATAGTACAGCAGTTTATATATATATATGTGTGTGTGTGTGTGTATGTATATGTATATGTATATGTATATGTATATGTATATGTATATGTATATGTATATCTCCTAATCCTTAAGTGGGCCATTTATATTAATGCGGTAGCCCCACTGACATTCAGGGGGCCATGACCTTCCATCTGCCTGCCTCACCACCCTCTAGAACAGGGTTTCTCAATCTTGCCCTGTTGACATTTTGATTGGATGAATTTTTTTTATTGCAGAAGGGAGATGAAATGGCTGTGATAGGCACTGTTGAATGTTTAGCAGCATCCCAAACCTCTTCCCACTAAATGCCAGTAACAAGTTCACCTACCTGTTGTGACAACCAAAAATGTCTCTAGACATTTTCAAATTCCCCAGTGGGGCAAAATCACCTGCAGTGGTGAACCACTAAGTTAGGGTATCGTCATCGCCTACATGGTAGAAAATGAATCCTGAGGTAATAGTTCCATGTGTAAGATTGAGGGAAAGGGAAGGTTTTAGGGAAAATAAATGCCCAACATCTAACACTCAGACCCAGGAGCATAATGTCTCACTGTCCACATTCATTGGTGAGAACTGAAGCTTGTCACTTCAACTAAATATTTATGTGCTGGTGAAGATCTAGGAGAGAGGAAAAACTGATGCTGGAGGCAGAAGGAGTTACTGGAGTCATGTCTTCTGTGGTGGGCAGGGGAGGATGAGATCTAGTGAAGAAGTAGAGGGGTGGCCTTCGAAGGGAGCACAGGGAGGAGAGAGCATGGGTGAGTTACTCTTGACACGGACCTTGAGGAAGTTGTTTTTTCCTACTGTTTTTTATTCCCTCTTGAAACTAGGAAATGAATCATCAGCTGAAAATGATGATGCCTTTGGAGGGTTGGAGTTTTGAGAAAACAGAAAAAGAGTTAAATAGACATCTAGGAATGTAGAAGAATGAATGGACTAGGAATGTTTAATAGGATCGCCTAAAAGCATTAAGGGTCCAACTGCTGTCTCTGGCCATGAATTTAAAGTGAGGCCACTTGAGCTATACTGTGCATGAGAAGAATGGGCAGAGTTGAGGTTACAGTTTTGTGAAGTTCGCATGACAAAGTGGGAGAAGGGTAAGGAAGTCAGGCGACATGCAAGGGAGTGAACGACCCTGGAATTTAAATTGTTTGAAGAAGGAATAGAATTCACTAACGTGAGGAGGAACAGTGGAAAGGTCGTAGGATTGCAGGTCCCAGTTTGAAGAATCCCTGGGGTTGGTGTCCTAGAAGGAGTGATCTAAAAAGATAAAAGCTGTTAGTCAAGTCGTTAAACACAGAAAACTTGAGTTTGAAGGGGACTTACAGTCTCTGGTAATGACTAAGTCCAAGTATGGCCATGGGAATTAATGACTGTGGGTGGATGAAGGTCCAGATTTAAAAGGATGGAGCTCAAAGAATTAAGACTCTAGGTCAGCGGTTCTCAACCTGTGGGTCGCGACCCCTTTGGCGGTCGAACGACCCTTTCACAGGGGTCACCTAAGACCATCCTGCATATCAGATATTTACATTACGATTCATAACAGTAGCAACATTACAGTTATGAAGTAGCAACAAAAATAATTTTATGGTTGGGTCACAACATGAGGAACTGTATTTAAAGGGCCAGAAGGTTGAGAACCACTGCTCTAGGTGGAAGAATCTTCTACATGTACATTGAAATTGCTAAATTAAGAAAAGTAACAATGAGCCAATACAAAAATTAATTGTAGTTAGATCATAATATTTGATTGTATAAATTGATCATGTGTACTTTGGAAAGAGGAGGGAGGCCAAAGGTCCTGAAGGAGAACAGGATGTGAGAAGGACACATATCCAGGTCCAATGGTAAGAATACTGAGGAAAAGAAAAACAAGAAGGGCTTCTGGACTGGCAGTGTCTGCAGAGGACAGCCACAGTTCTGTTAGAGCAAGAAAGTAAAGGGTGAGAACACAGTGGACTGTGTTCAGGAACTGTGGTGGGTGCGAGATGGGAACAAAATAGGAAACGTACAGAGCCTGAGGGAAAACAGAATACAAGAAAGGAAGGGGGACCTGGAAACTGAGGCTTGTCATAAGCAAGGAGAAAACGCATTTCAGTAGATTAGTTCCAGTGGCTTCAGGTCAAAAACAGAAGGGCAGATATGGAAGTTAAGTAACAAATTAACATGTTTATTTGTATCTATAAACTTCCCATATCTCATTGCATTATTTGCATACTTTATATTGCTCTAAATTATTTTTCCTTCTGAGTGTTTCTTTAACAAGTCATCATATCCCCAACAGGTGGCTGTTGTAGTTGCATTTTCTATGTCACAAGAATTCTTTGGGTTAGAAATTCAAGCATGGCTTGGCTATCATTTGAGGTCACCCAACGGTGGTACTCAGCTGACAGATGGGCTGGTTTAAAAAGTCTGAGACAGCTTCACTCACAGCCTGTAGCCTTGGTGGGATGGCCAGAAGGCTGGGCTCAGCGGGGACTTTCAACTAGATCAACCTTCCTAATGCCGTAACCCTTTAATAACAGTTTCTCATGTTGTGGTGACCCCCAATCTCATTGTTACAAATGGAACATAAGTAAAGCATGGTGATTAATCACAAAAACAATATGTAATTATATTTGTGTTTTCCAATGGTCTTAGGTGACCCCTGTGAAAGGGTCCTTCGAACCCCAAAGAGGTCGCGACCCACAGGTTGAGAACCACTGAACTAGAGCATCTATTCATGGTCTCCAGGATGACAGTCTCAGGGCGATAGGACTTGTTATATGATGACTGGCTTCCGTCAAATCAAGCATCCAAAGAGCACTGAGTGGAAGCTGCATAACTTTTTGGAGTTAGCCTCCGAAGGCAGGCAGTTACTTCTTCCACGTTCTGTTGATGACAGAGTCCTAAGCCTCACCCAAATTCAAGGAGAGGGGAATTCATTTCTACCTCTTCATGGGGGAGTGACAAGGTCCACTGTGGAGGAAAATATGAGGGGAGGGGAGATATTGTTGTGGCGATCTTTGGCCAATATTATCTGCCCTGGTGACACAGGGGAAACATACCTTTATCATACAAGTGCTTAGGGTAGAGATCCCTGAAAAGGGATTCCCAGGTTCAAGTTCAAAATAACTGAATTGTATTTGTGATAAACCATTAATTGTATAACTTTTTTTTCTTTAGGAGACCCTAGAAGATCCACGATGGAAAAGATATAGCACACCTCAGAGCACTTGGAAGAACAACTCAGTGGCTATGGTAAATCAAGTGAATAGTTTCTATTAAGAGCCCACATTGTAGAGATGCTAAGTATAATCTAATTCTTCAAACACATGAAGAATAATTTCAACTAGCACTTGATAAGCTAATTCTGAAACATTGCTTTTTAAAAAATCAGATTTACTATTAAATATCACACAAGGTTAAGTATTTTTCATCTTTTAAGCTATGTCTGAAAATTACAGAAAACAATAATATCTTTCCAAGCAAGTATGTTTACTTTCTAGCCCAATATAAAATTTAATTTTATAATTTATTTTATTTTAGATTTCCAGCTAATAAAAAAATGAGACTTAAACCAGCTTTTGACTCAGCAACAAAGCAAGAAGAAATTTATCATGTCACCGGAGTCTTCAATTCTCTATATAGTAGTATGTTACAAATAACACAGAGTTATAATAAACTATGCCTATGTTTTCATTGGATTTTGTATTGCAATGAACAAATTTTGTCTAAAACATCTAAGTCCATGAAAATAAATTATATCCAAAATGTTTGAATATTAACAATTACCCATGGAGTTTTCTCAAAAAGTTAAAAATGGAACTCCCATTTGACTCCCAGTAATCCCACTTCTAGGAATATATCCCAAGAAACCAGAAACACCAATTAGAAAAGATATATGCATCCCTATGTTCATAGCAGCACAATTTACAATAGCTAAGATTTGGAAACAGCCTAAGTGCCCATCAGCAGATGAGTGGATTAAAAAACTGTGGTACATCTACACAATGGAATATTACGCTGTGGTAAAAAAGAAGGAACTTTTACCATTTGCAATAGCATGGATGGAACTGGATTCATTATGCTAAGCAAAATAAGTCAGCCAGGGAAAGATAAATATCACATGATCTCACTCATATGTGGGATATAATGATTAACATAATTTGATGAACAAGAATAGTAGGGGAGGGGGGTTAGAGTGCAACCAAAGGACTTGTATGCATGCATATTAGCATAACCAATGGACACAGACACTGGGGCAGTGGGGGCTTGCCTGGGGTGGGAATGGCTGTGGTGGGGGGGTCAATTGGGGAAAAAGGAGACATATGTAAAACTTTAGACAATAAAAAAGTAATAATTTTAAAAACGCAAAAAACTATGCAACATTGATGAAGGAAATCAAAGATAAGTAATAAATGTTATTCTATGTTTTAAAAAAATTATCTGTAAAATAAACTGTAAAACTTTCCTTTTATCTACTATTCCATAAGAAATAGTGTATCATGGAATCAAAATTTGATTGTGTCTAATCCTATATAATAAAAGCCTAATATGCAAATTGAACAGTGGAATGACTGGTCGGCGGGGCCTGTGAGAGGGCGGCACCAGGCCAGCCAAGGTGGATGCCAGCGAGCAGGGACAGCAATTAGGAGGCGGTGGCGACCAGCAGCAATGGAGGGGTAATGGGGGGGCAGGGCTGGAGCTGCCCCCCTGGTAGTCAGTGTGCTCCCACAGGGGGAGTGCCACTTAGCCACAGGCCGGGCTGATGGCTGGTGAGTGCAGCAGAGGTGGTGGGAGCCTCTCCTGCCTCTGCGGCAGCACTACGGATGTCTAACTATGGCTTAGGCCTGCTCCCCCCCATCAGTCGGACATCCCCTAAGTGCTCCCAGACTGCGAGGAGCAGGCCGGGCTGAAGGACCCTGCCCCCGCCCCCGAGTGCACGAATTTTCGTGCACTGGGCCTCTAGTATGAAATGCTCCCATGTCCCTCCCCGATGCCAATTCTGCAGCGGCGGGGTCCCTCGGCCTGGCCTGCCCCCTCTCACAATCCAGGACCTCTTGTGGGGGGGGGGGATGTCAGAGAGCTGGTTTCGGCCCAATCCCACAGGCCAGGCCAAGGGACCCCACTGGTGCACAAATTCATGCACTGGGCCTCTAGTGAGAAAATAATTATAAACTTAAGGAAATCTATGTGGAATAAATTTGGGAAAGATATGTACTAAAATTCCAGGGGAACTTTTCAACATACATAAAATAATTATAAGCAATAATGACTATCATATTGCTAGGTACTATTCAAAACACTTTGCTTGACCTGTGCAAAGGAAAACTCTGTTTCCTCTACTCACAACACTTCTGACACCAAATGTGGAGTTTTCCCACAAAAAGCAATTCTCCAACTCTTGGCAGACAGTGGGTACCTTCCAATTTAACTCAATTCTGACGCTGACTGCCCCCACTAGACTGCCAAATTCTACTAGACTGTCCCTACTTGAGAAACCAATCGCAAGTTCTAAGTTATTCCTTACATTTCTGATTATGTTGGCTACAAATCAGGAATTCCATGACCCACTTCTCAGGTTCAGTAAATTGCTATCACAGCTCACAGAACACAGGGAAACATCTGCCAGTTTATTATCTATATAAAAAAAGCATAATATGCTAATTAGACCAGATGACCTTCTAGATGTCCTTCCTTCCAGACAAAGCTGCAGTAGGCGGGGGCCAAGGCAGAGGCAGAAGAGGCCCCCAGCTGCGGCAGTGGCGGCAGGGGCCGGGGCCAAGGCCCTTGCATGAATTTCGTGCATCAGACCTCTAATAAAGGATATAATATATGATATAACTGAACCACCAATAGAAGAGATGGGCAGGGCAAGGTGTGGGGGAGGGGCACAGCACTTCCATGCCCTCCTCAGGCCTGGCACCCTCCCAGCACCAGCTGGGTACATTTACCAGCCCAGAAACTCTGAATCTTACCGTGGTGTAATGTGTTTCCTTAACCATTTTCATTACAAACACCCCATCTCTTCTCACTCTATTTAAAAAGTAAAACTAACCATCAGAAAACTTTTTTTCCTTTTGTATGAATAAGTGTAGCCTTGAAGTTCTAAGTTCAAATAACAATTTTTTTTCTCTGAAGCCTTTCTGTAATAACAGCCTTTTGCTGTAATGTAAGCAAAATTAATTTTAAAGATCCTTTAAAAATGTTTGGAAAGTTTTGTGAGAATATCTATATATGTGAAAGGCTAATATGCTAAGTGTCCATCTGACTGATAGCTATGATGTGCACTGACCACCAGGGGACAGACACTCAATGCAGGAGTTGCGGTGACATGCACTGGCCATTTACAGAAAAATGGTACCATGGACCTGACGCCCACAAAGCAACACTCAGCTTCCCCCAGGTGGGACACAGGTCCTACCACCATTCCGGAGCAGCAGCCCACCAAGTCACAGCCAACGCTGCCATGACCCCATAGCGCAAAATGGCGCCCACAGCCCAGCAAAAAAAATTTAGAAACTTGACCTGACTGAAAAGACGTAAGAAATGGTGGACCTTGAAAATGACTTCAGGTTTTCTCACTGCACAGAATACAGCCAAACACTGCTGCAGTTAAATATTTTACCCTTTGTTCTCCCTGCATGATCTACAATAATAATCTGCTTCATGTAGATATTTACTGCTATGTTGCTGACAACGACCTGAAAGAGAAGTTGGGGTGCCTCACTGGGCTGGGAAAAGTTTAGCTAAATCAGAAAGCAGGAGTAATTAAGCAAGTTTATTCTGTGTATATGAAAGGCTAAGTTGACTTGCACATGCGCACTACATATAAGGCTCTCACTGGCACCAATAGCACATGTGTGTTTTGATCTGTCATTGTCATTCGTGAATTTGGTTGACATTTCTATTATAGAGAAAGGGCGAATAGCAATATTTAAATATTTCTTCTAATTAATTTCCTTTCAGTGTGCATGAATTTATGCACCAGGCCACTAGTTGTTTTTGTTTTTTTAAATGCCCATATCTTTGTAAACACTTCAGGAAATTAGATATATCAAACATAAACCTGTTGGAAAGGTCAACAGAAGCCAGACTTCACCATTAAATGCTGAACAGACACACTGCTATCCCTTCTGATAGATTTAATCAAAAGGTTTTTCTTTAAATTTCAATTTGAGTCATTTTTATTTGTGAATCTGAAAACAAAATCAAGATTTTATGATGACAGGTGCAAATCACAATTGTATCAAATGCTAGTACTTCTCTATAAAGGGTCCTTGCATAAATAATGTAGCAAGGACTATTCACTGAGAACACATAACTATGTACAATGACCTCTAATTCCTTTTAAATATATATGGCAGTGCCTAAAATACAACATTCTATAATCTATAATAATGGAAGTGTAGTATGCTAATGAGACCAGACGTCCTTCTGGACGACCTTCCGGATGAAATCCAGGGCTGCAAAGGAAGCCCAGGTCCCAGGTGCTGGAGGGAAGCCTGGGTCCCGGATGCCAGAGGAAGCCAGTACCGGCAGCCGGGGGAAGGAAGCCCTACTTTTGTTTTTTTTTGTTTTTTGTTTTTTTTCTCAAATTTTATTTTTTATTACAAAGGGTATTACATATGTGTCCATTTTTTTCCCCACCCTAGACAGTCCCCTAGCCTCCCCTATTCCCCAGTGTCTTATGTCCATTGGTTAGGCTTATATGCATACATACAAGTCCTTTGGTTGATCTCTTACCCCCCTACCTCCCGCCCCCGAACCCACCCCGGCCTAAACGAAGCCCTACTTTTGAATGAATTTCATGCATTGGGCCTCTACTATACTATAATTACTTTCACTTTTAGTTTCTCCTTTTAAAATTGCTACGATATTTTGTCATTTCTGTTTTTCTGCTACCATATTATGCCATTTGTGTTACCTAAAAGTCATTTAAAAATGCAGCCCAGTTTATAATAAACAAATATATTTGAGCCTCCACATTGTAGGTAACACCAAAAGTGTCCGGGAAGTTATGAATTGATGTAACTTTTAAAGGGTCCTTTGTCATTCTTCCCTCTCCCCACCTTTTCCCTTCTAGGGGGCCTTCCTTTCCTCCCACAGACTTGCCATAGCATATCTACACAGGAATGATGGTACATATCAAAATGTATAAGACATATTTGGTTAACTTTCAAGAGCCTCATTTAAAGATAAAATATAGAGAGTTTTTAGAAAAAGAAATGAACATGACTTCCATTA